ACATGGCGGACTCCATAGAAGACGACCTACTCCTGTTAATAAATCATTCAAAGATAACAAAAACACAATAATTCCTATATTCAGGTGATTATACAATGAAAACATAGCTATGAATATTCTATTACATTTATAGATCCTCCTAAATCTTACACACTGGACATTTAACTCAAATTATAATAAACTGTGCAGCTGAATTGGAGGATTAGCAGCTAAAGATGACAGCTTAGTTTCTCTGACAGAGAGGGAGCAGAATGACGGATGCTTCACTCAGTCACTGCAGTAGTCTAAACCCCCCTGAGGGCAGGTTCGTCCCAATTAGCCTTCCTAGTTCAGCTTTAATTAAATATTGGTTCCACATGACAAGTGGAAGTGCACTGCCAGCTCTCTGTAAATAGACTCATGACCTGAACGTCAGTGATGGATGGCTGACCCTTCTAGCTCATCCCTGCTGTTTCTCTTCCTCTCTCTTTCTCTCAGTAAGCCATCAGTCCATCTCTCCACAGCTCTGTCTCTGTGTCACTCAGCCTCCAACCACACTGTCCTATATTTCTCTTCTCCGTCCCTGCTGTCAGTTTTGTACCTCAACTGTTTTATTGTCAGCGTGGTGATTATTATCCCCCACATGAATAGAGGGTAGTCTTTGTATGCTTCTTCATACATGTTGGTTAAGCTTATGTGCAACAGGCTGGCCATAGACGGTGCAAAACAAGACTAAAAGTTGTTATTTATTGGTCCGGTGGGAGACTGATGTTTTTCCTGTTGTCCATTTTTGCCATTTGAGTATAATGAAACCGTGATGCTCAACAGAATAACAACAGAAACCCTTTAAGAGCATGTGTAACCCAGTTGATCCACTGCATAGAAAATCCTATAAACTTCATATTTGACTCAATTTCTGTCCATCATTTAGACAAGCATACATAAACTCATTGTCCATCTATCATAAAAGTTAACACACAGCTTTGACTATTTTAAAGCAGCAATTGGTAACTTTTATGAAAATAACTAAAAAATAAATAACCTGAGAGTAGTTCATGAGACTGATAATCCCTAACGAAAACAACCAATCAAACATTTCAAGGGCATCAAATACAGATGCTTTGGGACTCTGCGTTGGAAGCTTAAAGATAGCTGACTGTTGAGTCTCATTCTCGAAGCTTGCTTATATCTTTCTCAGCTCTGATTGGTTGTTTTCATTCAGTCCCGGTGGATTATTACAAATCCCATTAGGAGCACTAGGAGGAGCCAGAGGAACCTGATTGTTTCACACATTATCTGTCTCATGTTCTACTGTCAGGATATAGTGAAAACAAATATGAATATGAAACAAATATGACAAAAAGTTATTTTGCTAAAATTGACCTACTGCAGCTTTAAATCTTTTAATATCAAAATATTTTAATGCAGTCAAATTTTTGTCTTTTATGTTGATGGATTCTT